GCTTCAGAAGCCACGACTCCCACTGCTCTTTTGCTTGGCGTCCCTTAAGTTTCCAAGTAGAGGGGGAGGAAAACGGACTTTTAGAGCGGCACGTAGTGCCACCAACCAGAATGTGGGAGAACGGGGATCGTAGGGCCTCGAAGATAATGAGTGGGTGTTCTATGTACGAATCCGCTATCTTACCGTACAATAAGCCAATTTGTAATCGTAGTAAGCCCAAGGTCGACCTTGCACTGCGCAGATCTGGTGACCTGACCTAGGAGAAGAAGCAAACGTTTCCCTGCGCTCCTAAACTATGCCCTACGTAGTTGTGGGAAAGGTTTGTACTTGTGCCAACTGAGTTGTCGAAGTCTGATTGTGTTAAAAACAGTAGTACACCGTAATCACTTCAACGGTATCTTTATCATGACTCATATGCTGGCCAGTTTCCTACATTCTAGCGGTTGGTCTCCACAGCTGATTTCCACATTACACGTGACATTTTGCAATCACAGTCGTAGAAAGACTTACTACTGTCGGAGGTAGAACTTTTGCACAGCGAACCAAATTCGCTGCAAGGAGGCAAATCAAAATGCACGCTACTGAGAATCCGTGAACGACGATAGCTGTCAGTACCTGATAATAGACCTGGTTGAAGTCTTCTATAAAAGCCTCAATGGGGTTTTGCTGAACTCCTCTATCTGAGCTTGAGCTAGACATATTTCTGCTGTCACTATCTATAGAAAAAGTGCTTCACACCTTAAAAGCCTCCAAATCAATTCCTCCAACGTTCGATCCAAAGTCGAATGCATCCTTATTTTTCAACGTAGTGTCATATAATTTGGTAGAAATTAACGAAGTGACAATTACTGCGTAAATAATCTGTAAATTAGTGCTTCGCTTTGTGAGTTTGCATTACGGTAACATAGCCCTCAAGTCAAAATCTCAAAAACGACCACCGATGGGCGGAGTTTGCGAAACTGGCACGGTCCTCAAGGCAATGTCTATCGTTCGAGACCGCGCAGCGATTAGGCGACTAGACAATAAGGCAATTAGGCTGCAAAGAAAAGGATGCATATTGATTAGGCAAATGTGCGATTAGGCGAGCAAGTGAGTATCCTCGCGTATATGTTTGTTTCG